ATGGTTTCAGCCATCTGTCGATCGTAGCTGCAGAGAATCAAACTGTAATCTTCTTTATCAAATTTTGCGTCAATCACCACTGAATCAACTAACCATCGATGATATTTAATTCATTTAAAAGTCAAGATTAAACTTAAAAAGACAAAAAAAAATATTTAAATGATTGTTTTGGCCAAGTAACATATACTAGTAGAATATAGACTAGGGATGGCAAAAATATTTGTATCCATGAATATCCGTGGATAAAATCTATCACATGTATAAGGCCAGTAGATTAATATATATCTGCAGATAAAATAAATGGATATTTAAATATCTATTTATTAATGAATATAGATACAAGTTTAATATTATCTGAGCCCGTGGATATCTGTACTTGTTGATAAATTATAAAACTTACTTAAATATTATTAGTTTATTAAACTTTACCTTTTCATCTTTTAAAAAACTAGTCACCTCATATATATTTTTTTGAATTTTTCTTTGAAGAAAACATTTATATTTCATATAAATCTTATTGTTATGTGATAATAGCATATTGTGTCTTTAAAAAATATTGAAAATATATTTTTCAAAACATAATTTTAAAAAAATAGTGTTATTTATGAATATATGTAAATATCGGCAGACACCTTAAAATCCGTGAATTACCCGTTTAACGAATATCCATACAGATATGAAGCGGATATGAATATCATATTTATCCAATGAGATAAACACAAATATCATACTATCTATTTGTCGCTATAAATATCTATTTACATCTCTAATATAGACTATAAGGGTCTTCACATTTTATTTTGGATAGATTTTAAGATAAAAGCATGTGATCCAAAGATAAAAGTATATGCTATTTAATTCGGTTTTGGATGATAATTTAAAAAAACAATCTAATTCAATTTAATATGTTTTACGTTACACCAATTTTTGGATATTCAAATTTAAATTATATAAAATAAGAGTGAGTGAAGTAGTTGAACTAATATGTGTGTATTGAATTAAATGGATATAAGTTATTGGTCTAGGGTTCAATCTCTAATGATATCATTTTTTAAATATTCATATATTATTTTGGGCCCCCAAAAGGCAAAAAGACGCTGAGACCCAATAAAGATGAAGGCACAATATTTGACAAAGAACATGTTGGCTCTTTTCCCCCCACCAAACATGTAATCTCTCTCAAAAACACTATTACGGTCATCCCCATTAATCCAACGATTGACCGCATCTAATGCCTCATCTCATGCATTCCGGTGCTACACAATTCTCCTATTTAAAAGAGAAGATTTAACCAATTTTCAGGTATTTAAAACCTTTCTCATTAAGATTTTATTTTTCACTTTCTTACTAACTTAAGCGTTGGAGTACTAACCTTATAGGTAAACCTCCTCTCGATAACACCGAAAGAATTAAGCCATCACAATAGATCACAAATCCATTCTTCTAAATTGATTCAAGTTCCAACAATGAAGCATTAGCATAGTTTGTGGGAATCAACTTTTGATTATTGTGATTCTCTATGATCAAACTTATCTTCATTCAACCTAATCTCCTCTGATAGAAATGGAGATCTCCTTCGAACAAAATCCAACTTTCCATTTCTTGGTCACTTCTCTCAAACTCGGATTTAAACTCTCCTCCCTCAAACCTTTCATTAGTTTGGTCAACAATCGTGGCTTCAAGAGTTACTCATTCCTCCATCCAACAATAATCCATTGGAGTTTCTAGAATCTCCAACCTCCTCCTTAAGGGATGAATGATTAAGTTTTAACAAATGCTCTATTTGTTCCCCTATTGCAAAATCTTGTCCAACCTTAGGGAGATTAGGGAATGTTTCAACCTCTTGCTTTCCTTATATCTGCATCACAACTTTACATAAATGAACCTTCATTTAGACCTCTACTACCATCTACAATGTTGGGATGAGAAATACATCCCAACTTTTAACTCTTGCAATCTAATCTTGGTTTGCTGGAGCCAATGAACTATTGAATAGTGTATACTAGATGGTGCAACAACAAAACTCTCAGGCCTTGGAGAAAATGTTGACTCATATTGAAGAAAGTTTACACAATGTAAATCTATAGAACAACACTATACAGGATGCGACTTTACATAAAATCATTATTCCCAAACCAAGAAGGGGTCCAAAAAATGTCTAGAAGTCACCAAGTCGCCTATGACATATGGACCGTACCCCCTCCCGTAATATTGAAGGGGGAAGGGGTAGCCATACGCCTCTTAAGTTTTGGTACCCTAGGAAGAGGGAAAGGTATGAAGAAGAGGCTTCCTCTCAAGCGCGAAATAAAAACCCCATGTGAAATTCTAGTTCGTTTGCAGGATAAATGTTAGACGCAAAGTTTGGGACAATATGTATAACTTGCTTATAACAGATTGGAAAATATTAGAAAATAAATCATAAGACAATAAATAAAACAAAAGGATTGTTAACCTAGTTCAGTGCAATATCATCTAAGTTTGGGGGGCTTCCAACCCAAGAAAAGAAAATCCACTCTCAATAGTATTAGAGCAAATAGTCTTATATGAAAAACCCTTGTTCAATTTCTATCTTCCTAATACTACATCTTACTTTCTATTTAAGACTCCCCTTAAATATGAAAACCCCTCTCACTTTCTCTTAATCACTAACCATAATTATCAACACATAAAACATATTCAAATATTGTTGAATTACAACTCAACTAACATAACCAAACCTCTATGCCTTAGATTTGGAACTTAGGTGTTATTGAGGTGCACACATAGAAAAATTCACAAAGACTCAAATAAAAAAACCTAACACTCAAGATATTCAACTCTTTCTCGTCTTATCTTTATTAGGAATGAGTCTTATTATATAGCAAACTATCTGTTAGCATTTTATCTAACGGGCTTCAAATTTGAGATTAATCAGATTTGATTTAGATGCATATATGATTTGCTTTTAAAAAACATCCATCAAGAGATTTGATCTTATTATAATGTGCCTTAAAATCTTTGTTGATGAAGAGAAACAAAACATATTTTGGAGATTGCTTATACCGTGAAAATCAAAAGTTTCAGAAAGTTAATCAAAAAGTTGAAAACTAGAAATTAGGAAAAATCGGGTCGGAGGTGCCAGAGATGGCGGTGGCCGAAACCAGCGGATGAGTGGCAGCCAGAAATCGGTGAGCAGCCAGGATGAGGTTGTGGAAGTTGGCTGGAATTTAGTGGTGTCTAGATATCAGCAGGTTACCGGGTGGGGGAGCACGAAGACAATCAGGAGTGGCGGTGGCCAGAGATTGGCCAGGTGGCGGAACATGGCACCACCGACTGATCCGTACGAAAGTGGTGAGCGGTCTGTACGACCAATGACGTTGGTCGGTGACGAAGGTACATACGGTCGGAATCGACCGTCAGCGGTGGTCCATATGTAGACGGTTGTTTTTGGGTTTTACGGACTTTTTTTGTAATTTCTCATTTTGTGTGTTTTGAGTTCTTTCAGTTTGGTCATTGGATTGTGATTTTGGTCTTTAGTTTTTGGGTGTTTGCTATTATAAATATGTATCTCTTATATATTTGCAGGTGTGACAATCTTAGAGTTTACAACAACAAGGAAAAGCAAGGGTTTAAAGGTATAGCATATAGTTTTGGCTATTCTCAAGCGAAACCTTAGAAAGACAAGGGTCTTAGAAAACCTTTAGAGTTATCTAAGGGAATTGGGAATTAACAAACACTTTTTTACAACTTGGGTTTGAATTATTCATATATTTTTAGTTAAAGAGGTTGGGGAACACTTGGGTAGAAAATATGATTGTTCTTGGGCGCCTTCAGGGTTGTTCTTGGGAACCGCAAGGCAAAAACTATTTTCTTGTAACTCATATGTAATCTCTTGTAACAACTTTCTGAGTATAGTGAATTGGAGAACTGCTCTCTCCCCCATAGTAGATTGTTTGATTGAATTGTGTAAAGAAACCTTCATCTTTTTCTCGCCTCATTCTATCATATTATTTGTGTACGGATTATTATTGTTGTAGACCATTTATTTTAGTTGTTACTGTTATTTTCCTAACAAATTTATATTGAACATTGTCATAATTCACAGATTTGATTTGCAAATTAAATCTTATTTAATTTGATTTGATCATAAACAACATTTTAGCTAATCTTCATAAATAACATATTGCTAAAATATACAACAACCATTCTCCTTAGAATCAAACAAAATCACAACAAATTTACTCACAAACATTGGCTTACATAATAGAGGCATGCGCCACACACATGCTAGAACATCTTGTCCCACACGATGCCTCTTCACAAATTTACATCTTCTTGTCCATGTTGTTTTACCTAAAGCAGCTAATCAAAAGAACAACGGTCTCTTCCTTTAGAAAGTTTTTGCTAAAAAAACTTATAATATCTACAACATGTGCATGGGTAAATCTTCAATATAAAAAATACTAATGAGCACAAAAGTAGCACACAACATTAGAGCATGCAAAGTAGTAGTGAATTTTTTTTATCAGAGATCTTGCAGGATGGTTACTAATCAGATCAAAATGTTGGTTTATAATCAGATTATAATGTATGTATCCATAATTAATATGCTAATTATATTCACTCACTACTTTCCCTTTTTGCCATAATTTGGCAATGGTTTAAAAATGAAAACCCGAGAAATATCTAAGAGCATAAACAAAACCGAATAGCTTATATGGATTAGTGCAAAAACACATCAAGGTAGAAGTAGACAAACAAAGTTATAGAGCCATTACAGAACCGATAACATAAATAACATTTCATGCCAACAATAAAACTGAAAAAACTAGATTCAAACAATAAACTTCAATCTTAAACAATAAAACATTTGACAATATTAAACTAACCTAGTCTTTATCAATATCTGTGTCAAAATCACTTGATTGTACATGATTTCTCTTCAAGGACTTCTTTTCACCAGCTTCCCCTTCTTCCTTTTTTTTCTTGATCACACACTTCCTTTTTTGAGTTTTATCCTTCTAAGTCAGAGATGGTTCACCATATGTTTCAACACATGGTTCAACATGTGAGTCAATGGTGATTTCAACAGATTTAGCAGTATTCTCAGTAGGAGAGGTATCAAATTTATTAGCCATGAAGTCTATATTCACATAATCAACAAGCTTATCACTATGAGTATGCACATAAGTTTTCTTATCAGAGGGACTTACCTTTGTTTCATTCTTCTCTGAGTCAACCTTTTTGCCATTTTCTTTGAGACATCAACTGGGACAACTATCTGAAGAGGTACAACATCTTGTTCTTTAAGATTTTTGCTTGACTCAGGAATCCTAGATTTCATTGTTGTTGCTTTCTTCCCTAATTAACTCCAAGCATTCTGACCCCATTAGCATTTGTAACAAATTCAATAGTCTTAGCTTCTTCAAATGTTTAACTCATATTCGTGAGAGATTGAAGAACTTTTGAGAAAAGTGAGTGAACAGTTTTGTTAGAACAATAGAGAGAGATGCAGATTGTTATTGCTAGAAAAAATGGAGGAGTTATGGGGAATTTTGAAATAGGAATAATCAACCTTATTTTACATGCAGTAAAAATCATAAGATAGAGAGAATATCTTTCTATTATTGCACGCCTCCCCTGCATTAATTGTTATAAATTCTCACATATGAAAATACCAAGAGTGCCCTTTAGCTTTTCAAACTGAGCTATATCTAAAGCCTGAATGGATATGTCAGCTAGTTGATTTTCTGTTACTACATGCTTAAGGTTTACAATTTTATCTTCCATAAGTTCCCGAATGAAATGATGATGAATGTCAATGGGCTTGGTTTTACTTTGTTGGAGAATATTATTTAAAATATTAATAGCACTTAAATTGTCGCAGTAACACGTCATGACATCTTGTTCGACATTCTACTCCTTCAACATTTGTTTCACCCAAAGCAAATGGGTGCAACTACTCCCTGCGGCAATGTACTCAGCTTCTACAGTAGATAGTAAGACACAATTCTTATTCTTGATAAACTATGAGATTAAGTTGTCGCCAAGATAGAAGTATCCTTCAGATGTGTTTTTCTATCATCAACGCTCCCATCCCAATCAACATCAAAATAACCTAATAGAATAGACTTAGTATCATGAGAATAGATAATACCATATTCATAAGTCCCATTTATGTACTTCATAATTCTCTTCACTTGAGTGAGATGACTAGTGTTGTACCCCAAAATTTTCCCTCCCATATTCTTCAAGAATTGCAAAGAGCATGCTTCAAAATCTCCTCAAGGGTTGCACAGTTCAGGGGCCTCCTAGCAGTCAAAAACTAGGGTTTTGGTTCTGACAAAGAAAATGAAGTTTCCAAGGGTCCAATCAAGTCCCACATGCCTATAAACATGGTCAATCATCCTCATACCAAGTTTCAAGACTTACAGCACAAAATTGCACAGTCAAAAACCCTAATTGCCCTACAGTGAACTGCAGGGGCAAAATGGTCATTTGACAGTCAAAAAGTTCAAATTTTTGGTCAACATCTCATTTTGAAGCCACAAACATCATTTTATCAATGCTTGATCATGATTCTCAAAGCTTGGCTCAAAAAGTCTCAAGATGCAAAAGTTTCCATATTTGGACAATTGAAAAAGTCAACTGTAACTTGACCAAGGCATAACTTCCACATGGTTTATCAGAAAAATTCCATCCAAAGCTCATTTTGAAGGGAAAGACATTTCCTACAACTCCTATTCACACTTCAAGTCCAAGAAATGCTCTCACAAAAAGTTATCAATTTCAACATTATAGGTCATTTTCAAAAGTCAACAAAAAGGGACTTTAAGTCAAAGGCCATAACTTGAGATTGGTAAATCAAAATGACATGGGACCAAAGGCATGGGTTAGAGGACTTCAAGACCTTTCCAAAATGTCCAAAAACATGATCAAAGCTTAAAAATTGAGCAAGATATGCCTTGTGGAAGTTGGGAAATTTTTGGATATTTTGAAAAGTCAACTTTGCTTCAAAAGCCTTAAAATTGCTAATGGGCCACATTTTCTTCCAAGATTCATCATCCAAAGCATGTGCACGACCATTTGGCCCAAAGGGAATTTATTCATCATTTTTATTTATTTATTTGAATTTTAAATTGCTATTAATTCATTTAATTAATTAAAATATGGAAAAAATACCAAAGCAAGCTTTTCAAATCTTTTTATGCATGAAATATCCTCAAGATCTCGTGCATTATCTGATAGGGAAAGAATCAATGTGATTTGCCATGATTGGAATCAAATATGCATGGAAAAGATTTGAAAATATATGCATAAAAATCAAATATCTTGTACATCAATGCAAAGGGTTTTGGATCCAATTTTCAACCCTAATCAGTTCCCATACTTATACTAATGCAAAGCCTAGTGTTGGAGACCTCTAAGCTGCGCCCCATCTGAAGAACAACTTGTGCCATTTTATAAAAAAAAATCCAAAACTGAAAATTGCCTTGGAGGACGATTCAAAGAAGAATATTGATCCCATTAGCTTGCCAAGACATCACTGAACCTGACTGGATAATTTTCCACGCCCATAGCACCCAGAATTGGTATATGGAACTCAAAGTTTTTCACATTTTATGCATATTCGTATTTCAATTTTTAAGCATCCTCACTGCATTTTCTTTATTGATTTATGCTAATTGGACCATTCTAAAGCTAACCATATACATCAATTGAGTTTTCGTGTACTATAGGAGAATCCACCATGGGAGCTTTCTAGGTTTTCAGAAACCTTAAAAGAGGGCTTCGTCCGTATGGAAAAATTGAACCATAAGAATGATACCATTGAATTCGTGATGTTCCACTGAATCTAAAACACCCCTCGCGCTGTTTTTATATGCAGCCAGTTTCTATTCGCTATTCTTGGCACTTCAGATTGTGGGGGTTCAAAACCCCTGCTATTTGATGTTCTTTTTTTCAGGTCAAAACGCCTAAACGAGGAAGAAGATGAGTTGGAAGGCTGTGGTTGGTTGATTCAAAACTGGGCGCGCGTTTTTGTCTTCATAGCATTAATTCTTGTTTATTATTATATTAATTGTTTTTCATGATAATAACAAATATGTTAATTGGTTCAGGTGGTAGAAAGTAGCGTTGGCAAGCACTGGGACCTGGGTTCGATCCCCAGGTCCCCTCCCTTTATTCCATACTATTTTGCTAACCATGTTCCTATGCAGCACTTTCCCTAAGCGTTCACCATATGCACATAATCCAAGCGCGCCACATGGCCACTGAAGGCAATCTAAAGGCCCAGATCTGATGAACACTATGGACACTGGTCAATGTACACGCACGCTTCCAGGAAAGTCAAAAGAGGCCTTGGAACATTGGGCCTGATTACTACAATTTAACCTCCAGTTTGGGGACAGAACCCCCCCATTGGTTTGCTTTTTCCTTCTTTTTTCATATTTTTCTATTTTATTTGTTTTAATTAATTTTAATTTAATTCTTGAAATTAATTTATTTTCATAAAATCTAAAAATAATATAAAAATCAGAAAAGGAAAAATATAAATATATTTCATTTAAACTTTTTTTTGTAAATAAATCTTGTTAATTAATTTAGTTCTTTAATTCTAGGATTAATTTTGACATTTTTTTTATAAACTTAAAAATTATAGAATTAGGGTTTTAATCACTTTTTATCTTTTTCTTTTCTTTTATCATTATTAATTATTAATTATTTTTTTTGTAAATAAAACTTGCATTAATTAATTAGGTTAATTTTAGATTTAATGTTAACATATTTTTCTCAATAAATTAAAATAGTTAGAATTAGGTTTAAATTCAATTATTTCTCATTAAAATTCCATAAATATCAAAAAACTCCAAAAAATCTTTTCTTTTTATTTTAATTTAAATTAATTTGTTAATCATATTTTAATTTCATTAAAAAGGGTCCAACGCCCTCGCATTCAATCGCAATTCCAATTCGCGCGCTTATTTTATTTTTTCTTTTTATGTAATTCTCCCAAAGCCATGTAAATTCGATATTTATATTTCTCGCACTTTACTTTATTTTATGTTAAATCGGGTCCTTGATTTAATTTGGCGATGTGGACCCGCGCCTTTGTAATAGTTTAGGAACTTTATATTTCTCGTAACTTTTAACTGCTAATAAATTGCATGCAAGAATGAATGTTAAAATAAAAACAAACGCGTAGATCACCCATGACATGAACAAGACAAAATATCTGAAAACGACACACAAATCACACACACCACCCCTAGGGTACGCTTCACTGTTGCCTTGCCTCTCGAAAGGTGATCGTCGAGTAGAGGATGTTTTAGTAAGTCCTCATGATCCGGGAACCTGGCATGAGGGTAGCTTCTAAGGTATCTTCCTATTGCTCTGGTGATCACCATGTCCCGAACCTTCGAATTGACCCGAACACCTCCAACAGTGGTGCTACCTACCTCTCAATGGTGGGATGGCACTACTTTAAAGGACATTTACACAGACGAATTCCTTAGGGTAGGTAGACGACTCTAGATACTTGCTCTAATTTCAAAAACAAATCAAAAATACTTTTCACACCGACACCTTTTTAAAAAGCTTTCGAAAGCAACTTTTCAAACACTCTTGAGGACTGATACAAGAGTCGAACTGGAATTTTCAAAGAAACTTTTTAAAACCCACAGTTGAAAAGCAAACAAACCATTTTTGAAAACACAAATGAGCAAGTATCTAAGAGCCCATGGATAACCATGGATAGAAAGGGTGCTAACACCTTCCCTTTCTATAATCTACCTCCCGAACCGAGAGCAATCTCTTTAAGGAATTTTTCTGTGCTTTTGTCCTTTCCATTTGGAGAAAATAAAAGACAGTGGCGACTCTTGCTTCCGCGACATTTCGCGAACCAGCGTTAAACAGTCAGTTCCAGATCCCCCGATCACAGAACTGGCGACTCTGCTGGGGACCTAAACTTAAAGTGAGGTGTACCTTAGGATAGTTCATAACTGTGTTTTCAATTGTATTGATTTGCTTGCTTTAAATTGTGGGTTACTTGGGAGTTCTATAGATCCTAACCCGGATCTGGGGGATACCTTCTTAGAAAGTAGCCACAAGGCTGTGAGGGAACTGTGCGGGGTATACCGACATGGTTGAAACAGTCTGCTACATTGATGTGGCACTTTGGTGTGTACCGGTAACCCTTGAGTTCAGTCAAGGAGAGTACGGGGCCTCCGCGTGGTGTCGTGAAGCATCAACAGACCTTAGGAACCTTAATTGAACTATCTTGGCCTCTTTAGGGTAGTGAGATAAATGACTTTGGTGCAGTCCGAGGTTGGTTGATACTCGATA